AGTATGAGGAATAATTTCACACGTCGCATTTTCCGCCATAAGGTACTACAGAATGTAGACAACGCGTGGCTGAATGTTTCAAAATGTGCCGTCTTTGCTGAGCTTTACTTCATCTGCCTTTACTTTTGGTGCCGCGACACCACACGAAGGCACGGTCACCATGTCGTTACCATTCAAACGCTCGATCCTCTAAACGTACATACGAAACGATACATTTTCATAATACATTCTATTCCAATCGTCATGAAATTAATTGCATAGACTTATCGTTACTATCATTTTAACGTGTTATTCGTGAATTTTGTAGTGATGGTTTTGAGCTATACCTAAAACTTCACCACATTTCGTATGAGGGACTGAAATTACAATGTTTTGTTTTTGGTTCAATGTATTAAGTGTGGGAGAGCCATACTTCGGCACGGATGGGCCGGCTCGACCGGAGTAATACCACGGCCTCACAGAAAACCGACGTGAAGCAACGCTTGCTTTGTGTTTCGTCGTGTGAGTGAGGTTACCGGAGGCCCAATTACCTTCCCCTTCCCCAATCTCCCCAATCCCTGAATCCCCAACGATCCTCAAACTCCTAATCCCCAAAAAGCCGGTGACGCACTTGTAACGCCGATTGCTTACCATCAGGTGATCCGTCTGCTCGTTTACCGGCTTATGCCATAAAAAAAATGTCATGGTTATCATTATAATTCAGGAAAACGGTATTCTGTAAAATCCCCTCAGATATATCTTCACATTCTCTACGAACGTCACAACAATCCTTGCAACTTTCTTAAACATTGCTGCAGTCTAATGAAGTAAAATGAAAATGCATTGCCATTATGCTCCTGACAGGAACCTTGGATACAAAGAATCAGTTTATATTATCAATTTATTAGCTTTTACTTTGACATCGTTGCAATGCAATTTATAGAAATAAATTGTCTTGTTCGTTCTTGGCTTGTTTTCGTTTCTTTATTCTTACCTTCAAAAACTATTGAGGAATAGAGTTTTTGACGTCATTACTTGGGTTGTTAACGAGGGTAATTTAGATATTTTGGTCATCTAATACGATCGGAAGAAAAATGCTAGAAGCTCTCACAAACAAGGACAAGGAAACAAATGTAGGTATGCACTACAAAATCCATCCTCATTTTTGAGTTGTAGTAACAAAAATGCGGATAGAAATAACTACAAACACTTATATTCCGTTCACGTAACAAATTGCGGTTGCGGTATTCGTTATAATAAAAGTAAAGGTCAACAATAATTAATTTTATTATTTTCGGAAATCAAAGGTTCGTTTTGTTTCATAATAATTTAGTAGCTACATTCTTGAATGGACAGTTGATTTGTTGAGCGATGTTCATAATGGTCGGCGCAATAGTTCTTGGACTAATTAGCCAGCATGTGTGACGCGCGGTAGAGGCTTTGCAAAAGCCGAGAGCGGCCACAGAGCGCGATTTTGCATACACTGAATTTTACACGCAGATGTAACATAGATCTCTTTCAAATGCATTAATAAAGGTTAGAATTTTAATATGTTGAATTCTGGATTCATCGGAACAATTATATTGTCATTAGTTATCTACAAAATCAATACCGCCTGCTTTATCCTAATCTTTAGATTTTGTAACCAAACCATTCCAAAGGCTAATCTAATTAATCCAGAATACCTCGTAGGCCTAATGACGACCAGTGTATCAAGTACACAAAACAGCAGCTGTATCCAAATGCCATTTAGCGCTTGTCTACTTGTAGAGTAGAAAACCAAATTATATGGAGTTGACGTAAATTCTGACACTTGTCAGTGTCATCTCCATACATTTAGTTTTCTACTCTCTCGGTAGACAAGCGTTAAAGTGGCGTTTGGCTAAAGGCAGTGTTCATAGAAGGAAAAAAATATTTAAAACGTAATCTGAAAGCATTAGATGTATCATTATATTCGTATCTCGTCTTGTGTAAAGAGGTGTAAATCTAATTCCCACACTCGTGTACCCGCGTCAGCGCACGCGTTCGCTTTCTTTACAAAACTGCCACACACATTAAAATAATTATGTAAAATTATCAACATTGTTTATTCATTACATAAGCTGTGAGTTTTCACTTCACTGCTTATTGTTTTTTTAGCGACGATTATAATGACCACGCTATTTTAATGTAGGTACCGTGGTGAAAATAAAAAATGCTAAATAGACTGCTTGGAAATGTCGTTACCGCCATGGATTAGGATTTAATTCCTGAATACGTTCTCTTTATCAATGGTTGATATTATTTACTGTATTGATGATAAAGCTCGGAACACGCTCACTATTAAACCTTTGAGTACCGTCATTATAGACACAATTAAAGAACAATAGGTTGCGGTCACCGGTGTCCTCGCGGTGTTTGACAGTTTAAGTATGGCCAGCATTACGAAAAAATTAAAGCTTTGTTTTCATGTTACTTTACCAAACAAAAATTAGATGTCCTATTTGTAAATAATAACTAGTTTATTACTCTGTATAAATACTAGTTGTGGGTAAAAATGACGTAAGTTTAGGAAAGTGTTTGTTCGTTTGTTTTTATGAGTTAACGCTGGAACGGCTCGCCTGATTGCTATGAAACTTTCATCATCCTATTGTTTTACTTGATGTCAGTAATTAGAGAAGAGGTTGGCGTAACATTTATACTTTGTTTGCCATTTTTTGAAACATTATAATGTGGTTAAGATTCTACTAAAGAAATCAAGGCTGCAAATTTGGATTCATGATTTTGTCGAAATTGATGTATGAAAGAGGCTTAGAACCCATTCAAGCACTTGACCACTCCCCTTAAAGTGGAGAAAATGACACGCCATTGTTCATTGAATTATCTTCGAACAGGTGTTACTATCTATACTACTTACAAAAGAATCAAGGAAAAATAAAATCAGTTGTCAAATTTCATTGCACTCAATTAAAAAATTAATAACAATCAATCTTAGAACTACATTTATGATTTATTTATCCATGTACAAATCGGTGTCGCGGCGTATAACCAATTACAGCAGTCTGTTCTTTTAAGACAGTGAGAATGTAACCTTAAACAAACGAGCGAAAGTAAAGAGAGTTAATGATTACATAGAAAAAGGTTGAAGTGTCAACTACAATCGGTTAAACGATCACCATTTATAATCACCAGATTTGATGTTCCATGCACACAATCACACGCTTTGCACCTAATCCATTACCTCATCGCTTCGAACAATTACGACGCGCTAGCATTATAGAGGCGCAATGTAAAAACTCCCAGTGGAATAATACGCGAAAGTGACTTACGCTTTCTAAACCATAGTACGGTTTCTATTAACGACAATGAAGATTCCCACAGCCAATAAGTGTTTGTGAAGAGTTAGTTATGCGCTCTTGTCACACCGTAGCGTAGTTGTAAGGCAATTAAAAAACCAACCGTCAAATTATGTAATTGCAACTATTGTTCCCCGCAAAACCATCGGTGTTAATGAAGTCATTAAAGCAACAGATTTTACGATTCTTTATCTGGGTTTATAGTGTGTCCGTTCATTAATCTCAGCTCTTCGTATTTCTGATCTCCGGGTACATCGTTTTCGAAACACTTAAATATGGTTTTTAGATAAAGATTCATCATCACGGTTATCCATATCATTTTAAATTATGCATATTTTTATTATTTTTTTAAAAAATAATTTACAAATCAGATTAACTAAGTCCTAGTTGCTGAAGGAAAATCTAAACCATCGTCCATTTGAAAAAAAATAGTAACGTTTCTGACGCCTTACAATTTAATCGTAGTTTATATATATTTCTGTCTCTTTAATTACATCTGCTTATCCCTGAAAATTAAATACTAAAAAAACAATTGTTAAATACTATTATTTTTCATACAAAACCATCATTATGTTTTTTAACATTTCAAGGTAAACAAAACAAAATTAAATGCAGTTTGTAAGACCTCCATTAGAAACTAGGTCAGGCAGAAACTCCCAGCGACATAATTCAAATACTTAAGTTAACCCATAACATCTCGAGTGAAAAATCTTTTCAGGCGATATGTATTTGTATATATTTATAACAAAAATAAATTAAGGGTACTTACATAGGTGTAGCTGGTCCGGCAATTTGAACGTTAAAACATTATGCTTATCTTTACTTTTCGCTTGTACTACCTGCAGTTTTAATCTAAGTATCTTACAGTCATATACATTACATATAGAGGTACATAGGTATCGTGTCTAATACCTATGTAGCTAAAAAGGTTTGAACTATAAGTAATATAATAAAAACCTCTATTCTTCGTAAAAACCAAACAATCGCCATGTTGAATCTACCTCTTAGGAAGTGTGGACGAGGAAAAGTAGAGCATTTGCCAAAATTTCTACTTATAGTAGAAATTAATATAAGACATATAATAGTAGTTTAAGTACATACCAACAGGTTTATTCTAAACAATAATTTCATAGTGACAGTGTGACAGTCGCCCATCGCGTGCATTTCTCCTCTGTTGAGATGATAGCGCGAGCGCAGGAACGCGGCGCGCGCGCAGCACTAATCACAGACAATTGTCGACTAGGAAGTAATAGTTCTATAAATAGTGTTACATAAACAGCTGGTTTACTGAATAGCTTCTTTTAAGTTTGATACTCTCAATCATAGCGGCGTTGGTTATAATTGTTTTGAAAGTTCATGGACTTCTGAATGTTTTGTGATGATCTTATGAAATTAGGACCATTACTAATTACCAATCAACAAATCAGTTTTATTAAGAACCACTAAAGCATGCGCAGTAAGGCTTAGGAATTTGTAGCGAGCAAATACAGGATTCGACATAGCAATAAATAAACTAAAATTAAAACAACATTGGAAAACACAAGGCCCTTATTTAGTCCTAACAAACTTGTAAAAAGACGTACTTAAAATAATACAATGCCACACAAATAGAGGTATAGCCACAAAAATAAATGGAATTTCATACCCTAACATTAGTATGTTAAAGTTTTTAATTGTTTGTTGCAGATGAAGGCATAACGAAGACGTTCACGTGCGCGAGGCCACTGGTTGGCCAGCACGTGTTCCTGCAGCTGGTTGGCGTTGAAGGCTCCTTGTCTCTCTGTGAAGTTGAAGTGTTCACCACTGAAGGTAAGCCTAAAGACTTCGACAACACATTGCGAGTTACAACTATAAAAGTCATCACCATTACTACATTGATGGTGGGTGCTATGAGTTTTCTAAACTCAATCTTATGCCCTGAAAACCTTAACGGTAATCTTGTGGTCGTAGGGGTGATTGTTGATCTTAAGGTTATCTTTTTCCTAAGTTATATAAACACTACTAGAGAAACACGTATGCTCAGACGCATCTTTTGTAATAAAACCTACCACGATATGCTATTACAACAAAATTAAAAAAAAAAAACTAAAAAAAAATCAGCTGCACCTAATATTTAAAAGTTCTACTCCGGCGCTAGCAATAAAAGCACTGCTTTCGAATATCTCATGAGTCAGTGACTGGAATATTGAATGCACACCGTAACCCAGTCTTATATGAATATTTAATTATGTGTCCTGACCTGCCTCAACGCGTTTATTACTCTCCAGCGTACGATGCAGTTTGATATTAACACAAATAGAGTAGCAATCAGTGGAGTAAATGGGTGAACCGTAACTGCTACTATCCTATTTATGCCAGCCTGGTAAGTTTGTGCTAGAACAATGGATAATGAAGTATTGAAAACTATAAACTATTGGCCTATTAACCGAGAACCGGTTCATCCGGTGGTCCGTTTGTCGTTTAGAAGAGTTATTAACACTTACTTCTCAGTAGTTAAGTTTTTCAATTTAGAGATTAAGCTCAAACCCATATAGTGTACTAAAAATGAGATTTGCTTCACATTTGGTCTTGTATAATTATACAAATGAACAAATCAACAAATACTTTGTTCCTTGGTCACAATCACTCCTTCCATCCCTAGCATGTATACGCCCAGTCAATTTTAGTCAATGGATTTCAAACTTAATTGTTTTATTTTATTTACTTATGTATTTGGTCCATTTGCTAGAATTCTCCAACGACCGTTGTGCCCCAACCGGAGCCCCTGCTGACATCGAACTGGCTGCCTTCTCTAGAAACTGCTACGAGTTCAACGTGGCTAAGGGCATGTCCTTCGACGACGCGAGGAAGCAATGCCAGACTCATGGAGGAGATCTCATTCATGGATTCCAGGTACTTAATCAATTTACATGAATAACTACTTACAGGAATAGTAGACAAGAACAGAGTAAATTACTATTAAATTGGAATTACTATTCTATACATATTAATAATTATTTGTTGGTCAATTTATTGAATTTACACTGACACTCGGGTGAATAACTCAAAATAGTTATGCTTCAAAGGCGTATAAAACGTATAAACTGTGTACATAAACTTTCAGAAAAGTACAAGAAAAAGTAACAAATATACAGTAACTAGTATAAACAGACAGTAGGAAACGTTACGTATTACAATGTCAAATGCACTTTCTACACGTACCTGTCCCTACTACACAGGCAACAAACTCAATACTAACTCCACATTACCGCATAATGTAACTATAATGCACTCACGTCATTGTATAATCTCGTCCCAAGGGAAATCAGTGACTTATACATATACAAACCAAGTAACAAAGTATCTATTCAACAGTCCGATATGGACGCATTCCTTCGTCGTAAATCTCAAATCACAAAATCATTAGCATGACAATAGACAATGCCGATCGCACTTAGATTAATGATCGTATTATGCCAAACAAAAAATATCGTTAACACTTTTAAAACAAAGGTGGGTTTTGAATAATGTATAATGCCAAAATTTATTTGGATTGAAATGTAACTAAATAGAGATTACTGATCCTTATAGTTGAAGTAATAGATCTCCTAAACAGGTTCTGTTGAACTATCGAAGGATCTGTGTTCATTGTGTGAGCATGACTTTAGAGAACTTAATATCTTCCTCTAGAAATGGTAGGTCATGTGCAGGCTACAAATAGATATTGTATCATAAGTTAGGTACATACAACTAAATTGTTATTTGGTTAGGTGTAAACTATATTGTAGGCAGGAACAATAGTGGATTGTGCGTTAGCCGCTTTCATCTAAACACTATCATGTTTAAACCAATATCTTGGTTGAATATGAGTAAAATTTACCCAGTATTCAGTAAAGATGAAGATAGATAAATATATTTTTTTAAGGGGGGAAAATCATCGAATTACTGCTCCCGCCTCACCTAGGTGGGAGGGAGTGTCAGACTCTTACCGACTAAAAACCACCCCGTTCCTTCTCCTGCACGTCGAGCTGGAGCCCCGGTAACCCATTAGGTTATCGGGGCTTACGCGACAGATAAATATAATACGAGTAGATATTGCTTCGTTGAGGTGGAATTTCTGAATTAAGTAAACTTATTCTAGAAAATAATTATGTTCAACATGGAAATTCAATTACTAGCAACGTTAGGGGGCATTATACACTTAGCAACACAGCTCCGGCAGAGCGTTGCTTTGGAAATATTACAAAAAGATTACTTACAAGATTGTTTACAGATTTTTAATATTGACGTTATGAAATATGTCATATGACATACGATTTAAAGTTCATGTTTAAATGACAAGTTAATTGCTAGCCGTGGTGCGCGTTGACCTTAAATCGGAGTCTCAAAATGGCCGGAAAAGATATGTAGATTATTGATCATCCTCTAATTATATTTGATTTTACACCATAGTCCATAGCTGGCTAAAAATGAATGTATGGAAGCCCACTCTACTGGGTAAAAACTGACGTGATGATATAGGGTCTCAAAGTTCATTACGATGTAGAAGAAATCGTTGGATACTTAAATGTTTTTAAGGTAAAATCATAAAGAAAGAATATAACGGTGACGGTAATTTTCCAATTTGATTGTGAATAGCAACCAGACGGACACGTGTATCATTAGTCACAGTAATTTCGGGTTGTTAGCTATATTTTTTTTTACTTTTCTTTTGCTTTCCTACCCAAGGGCTCTTGTGTAACTGTCTGCTATGGAAAGTCGAAAGTGCTAAGACATTGAAGCATCTATTAGACTATTAGAAAAAAGATTTTATTTTGTTAGAATCATAAGTGATTCTAATATCGTAAGCGTTATTATTGTTTTTGTGACTGCAGGCAGATTATTAATTGACGTTCAAAATTATAGCATTTTTTTTTAAATTGGGTCCTATTTATAAACTGGTTTTTTAGATTTGTGTTCTATTTTGTATTTCTACGGCATTACTATTGTACAGATTTATTTCTCCGAGGCTTGTTTGTAGTAGTTATTGTCACAAAATACCCAATATAACTTGCCAAGTAGAAGACGCTGTGGCGTATATCATCAGAGAAAAAGAACAGTGCCTATGTTTTACGTCTACAGTAAACAGTAAATGCTAAGTTTAATCTTTCTTTTTAGGGAGCGACATCGAGTTTCTTGATTCAAGAGCTGGAACGAAGAAAACCTCAGCTGAAGACTCAGTTGGTCTGGATCGGAGCACAAAAGGAACCAGGGCTAACTTCCAGAACCTGGAAATGGGTTGATGGTAAGAATCCATAATACCCTACCCATTTAAACACAACTGGAAATAATTATCTCTAATGTAAAAAAGTTCAGGCATTTCGTGTCTTGTAATATGGGTACTAAAAGCTGATTACAAACGTTTTGCTAATTATATTTTTTACCACTAACATCTCTATGGATTTTATAAGAGAGCAATTCCCTGATTTTCCCCGAGGATAATTATTGTTTGTGTTCAGGTGAACTGGTACAAAAGCCGACTTGGGGCAAGGATCAGCCGAACAACTACAATGGTGAACAGAACTGCGTGGTGCTGGATGGAGGTCGAGCGTGGCTCTGGAACGACGTGGGCTGCAACTTGGACTATCTACACTGGATCTGCCAGTACCGTGAGTGTCATACATAGGTACATATCCTTTTCCTAATCGAATGTGAACCCAGCGAATGTGCAACGCGAAGGTATGTTGCGAAGTTTTCTACTGTTTAATGCAAGCCTTTTTGAAGTGTTTCTTAGGAAAATCTTCTCATGCGTATTTTGTGTCTTTCTACCTTTAGAACGGTGACGAAATGTATTTTGTTTGATATTTAATCATTCAAGGAGCATGTAAACATTTATCCTAGGTTTTTCGGCGGCATCCAGATACATTTAATGTAACTTTTCCTTAGTAACGATTTTGTATAGATATGTATAACTCTAAGTACAGCAGTAAGTAGCTGTCAGCAACTCACCTCTATCACCATGTTAGGTACCTATATTTCTTTTGCAATTGACTAAGTATCATTATAGTCTTCTATATCGACACTTTGAGTGCGGTGAAGCTTCAACCAATCTTTATACGACTGTAGACTCAACACTTATACTATGAACTTTTACGTAAGAGATACTTACTATTACTGATTACTTTAACAAGTAGGTAAGTATAGATTAGCCGTTTTTGTCTTAAAGATAGATGTGAGCAAGTAATTTTTTTTCAATTATATTTAAATACACACGCCTACACATCGAGCTTTACATAACCAGTATAAACTAAACGTTAAATGTGCGGAAAGATGATGCGACGCGACACCAGGATAAACTGGTTTTGTATAGATTGATGTGTGGCCGTGTGTACCTGCCTAGTACCTACCCCTCATTTTCTTCGATTCATTGTTTCCAAGAAAATGGACAAATGCCTAATAGTTTTTCCATAGAAAGACGAATCTAAGTCATTTCTTCTACGTTGTATTCTGTTTGCATTTCGATTTGTTGCGAGAATTCGCAATTTCCTTTGAACACACGATGCATTCAATGTCACTCGTACCCAATGTGATATTTATGACAAAGCACATCATATGGCTTTGTGGTTGTGGCTCTTTGACAGTAATATCCTTGACTATGATATGCGTTTGTGTAACCTGCATATAATATTGCTCTGTCTCACAGTATGCGTCCAATTTCGACCAACACACACAGTCTAAGCCATTAACGTCCATAATTATTCATCACTTGCTGTTGTCCGCGACTTTGTCCGAGTAGAATAATGAGTTCTGAGAGAATTTGGGTTTTATCATTGGGTTTTCTTTTATTAAATATAGCCTCTTTGTCAAAATCGTCCAGGGGTTTTCGGAGCCTTTTCAATTTAAACAAACAAAAAATAAAATCTTTCCTCTTTATACTTAACTAGCTTCTGCCCGCGACTTCGTACGCGTAATCCCATTTTTTCCCGTCCCCGTTCGTGATTTTCGGTTAAAAGTAAAAAAAAAAAATATGGTTAAAAAATATCCTATGTCCGTTTCCTGGTGCTAAGCTACCTCCCCACCAATTTTCATCCAAATCGATTTAGCCATTTTTCAGTTATAAATAGTGTAACTAACACGACTTTCTTTTATATATATATATACATATATATAATCGATATTAGTGTAGCTGTAGATTATCAGCGTATTTCGTAAGTTAAGTCTAACCAATGGCACCATAAAACTGTTATATTTTATTGTAATAATTAAACATTTTATGAAGAGTTTACCTGCCAAACAGTTATAATAAACCTCTCTTATATGTATAGAGGAGACAGAGACCTGTCAAAGTGTATACAATAATATGTGAATTAAACTCTATACATAAATGTCTTATCACCATTAGTACCTTCCTATAAATAATTAGGTACTAATAATAAATATTCATACAAGCGAATGCTTCTAAAATGTTACTTGTTCGTAGTTATTACAAGCAATTTACATACGCAATGTAAGTGCAATAGTAATTGAAATTGCCTATTTATCCTGTTTGTAATAACGCGGATACATGCGTCCACTTGTCTCAACCCTTATAATTAAACATAACGTGCATTACATCTTTTATTTCATAGAGGTATAAATTAATATAAGATAATTAACACAAATTTTTGACAGTTATAAGTAATGTCTATCATGTCCTATGTATGACAGGGATAATAGAAATCTCCTATTGATTAGTACCTGTTTGGCAATAAGTACCGTAATATGACTGTGTTCGATCCAGCAATTTAACCCAAGACCAGTTGCTCAGTAATTGGGATGATGACAGAGTATGAAAATTAAAAATCTAATTAGTCCGTAAGTTAAGTAATGAAAAAATATTAGACACGTATTTTTTATTTTGTCGTATAATAAAACAATACTTAGATAAAACGAATCAAAGTTTAGGAGTGGGGGCTAAAACGTCATTTCTACGTATAAAATGTACATAGAAGTGACGTCACGTGACATTTCAAATCAATATATCGTCGAAAGTATTCGTTTCTATAAGAAAATAAAAAATACATGTCTAATGATGTAAAATAATCTATCAGACGGACATTAAAATAAAAATTAGGCATCTACCCTATTCTACTTACGATTATTCTATCAATGAAACACTCGTCATTATAAATTGCTATTTCCAATAGATCAACGTTGTCTCTGCTATTTGTAGTTCGCCGTAGGTTTCGTGTCAAAGTGTATTTTCGTGGAAACCGAAGCGAGCAGCGGTTTGTTCCTATCTACAGAGGTACGACACCAATCAGTTGGTTAACGACAGTAACGTCCAACTAAAACTGGAGAGTTCCAAGAATAGTGTATTTTGTAGCTAGGAACCGTAAAGTGTAGGACATTAAACAAAACGAGGTCCGGGAAATAAATTTTCTTTCGGTAATGTTGTCGTGATATTTACAAATGCAACGACTGACCGATATCTAAGTCGTGATTCGATTCTAACCTATCTAAAAGAATCCGGATTAATATGAACACCTGCATTCTTTCTGTTAAAGTATAGTATATAGTCTTGTCCAAGTGAGTAACCAGGAGCTAACAATAGAAATAAATTCATTCATAGATTTCCTAATAAATCCTTGACATACCTGGAAAGAAAATGAAAGAAAAAAGTTAGTTTATTCCCGAAGTACTGTCGCTGCATCGATTCAATCAGTATTTCTTATTGCCACTAGGGAGCGCTGTAATCGATTGTGGAACAATTATTATGATTGCCAAGCGACTTGTTCAAACTATTGTTATTGAAAGATGTTATTTATTCCTTGTTTATTCGCTGTACGATTCCATTGCTAGCGAGGACTCGAAAGATTTACTCAAGAAATAAGGTTTTAGACGCAATCGTTTTTTATAATGATTTTATCACCAGAGTGCATCCAAACCATATCATGCGATTACTTGTTTCTACATACATAAAACTTAGTCCTTGCGTCTTGACAGGAGCAGTATCTACACAGATTAGTACCTTATTCTTACAGTTGATAATATTAAAACGATGTATGTTCTCTAGTGCCTCCTTCTTGTGGAAGTCCGGATAAGCTGCTGAATACCACCATTGAAGGAAACAACTACCAAGTTGGAGCTTCCATCGCCTACAGATGTCCAGAGGGGCACATGCTTCTAGGAGACACAACTAGGGAGTGCAAGAAAGATGGATTCTGGTCTGGTGCTGCACCCAGCTGTAAATGTAAGTCGATGTTATGAAATTCTGCATGATTGATTGATATTTGGTAAATGTTCTATATCATTCAAATCAGCAGTATTCGTGTAATATTAAAAACTGATTGCTAGAAATAAGTGGCGAAGTGACCTCAGGTCTCTCATTCCTATCTTGCAGATAAATCGAACACGAATTCAATTCAGGACCGTTCAGTGACACGAGCCATTATTACAATATTGCGATAATACTAGCTTGAATCGTGTCTGAAGCATTCACTGATTCCAAATTAGGAGACATTTGGCATATTATACCTAATTAAAAATGAAATTATTCTTTCAGACGTGAACTGCGGTGGACTGACGCCAATTCAAGATGGAGACGTATCTCTAGTCGACGACAGGACGACACACGGCGCTAAAGCAGTGTATTCCTGTCGAGAAAACTATACCCTGGTCGGGGAAGCCGAACGAATGTGTATTGACGATGGGATCTGGAGTGGCGAAGCTCCCAAATGTTTGTTTGACTGGTGTCCCGAACCTCCTCCTGTTACTGGAGCTATCGTCACAGTTGATGGTCACAAGGCTGGATCCCTGGCGACCTACAGCTGCCAAAATGGATTCATTCTGTTTGGACCTCCGGTAAGTGAAACTTAAGAAAACGAGTACATGTAATATTTACGTTACGTTGCGTTTTAACGACCAATTAAATTTTAGCCAAAAGAATTTGACACTCATCCCAACCGCAACGTATTCTCCATATGAAATGTGCTAAAATATGTGTCAGTTTACTGTCCGATCAAACAAGCATTTTGAAACAGGACCTAGCAAAGTCAAAAATCAACCACATAAGGTAGAATTTCCTACAAACAGCGGGTTTTCCAATTGGCACACCAGTTAAAATATAATTCTCTATCTTCCAGAGCGTAACCTGCACTCTTGGAGGATCATGGTCAGGTACACCACCGTCCTGCAAGTATGTTGACTGTGGAACACCAGCTCAAGTGCATAAGGGTTCCTTCATACTGCTGAATGGTACCACAACGTATGGCTCCATCGCTCGGTTCAACTGCGAGCCTGACTACTGGCTTGATGGTGCGGAGATCCTCACTTGCAACAGGGATGGAAAATGGTCTCATGATATACCATCTTGTGAATGTAAGTTACATGACTTTACAGTTTTTTAAATCTAAAGGTGTAGAAAAGAAGAACACTCTTTGTTCCTGATCAGGTAGATTTCAATTCTTTTCCATGTAAGTTTTTAATCGTGTCGTGTATTTAGTAGTTGCATTCAAAATAAAACGAGCCATTTGCCAAAAGTTTGTCACAATTAACAAAAAACCTTTTTAATTGTATATTCTGCTATAATACGTCACTTCAACATGAGACAATACTGTTTAATTTTTAACTACTGCTACAGTGATATCGTGTGCGGAACCTGAGGCTCCCGTCGGTGGGGAGTTTGAGGCCTACGACTACAACGTGCACTCCACCATCGACTTCCACTGTGAGAAGGGTCACAAACTGGTCGGCGAGTCCAGTCTCACGTGCCAGACTGATGGGGAATGGTCAGGAGAATCACCCAAATGTGAATGTAAGTATCTATATATATTCTTTTATCTTATTCCAAAATTCTTCAAGGATTTAAAAGCTAAATAGAGGAAAATCTTGAAAACGGAAAGCTAAAGTAAACCTGGTCTATAATTTTATATAATAAACTTAATTCCAGATGTGGACTGCGGTAAACTTCCACCAATTCCAAACGGTTCAGCTGATCTTTTGAACGGAACCACTCACCTGGGCAGCGTGATCCAATACTCGTGCACCACAAACTACAGGCTCGTGGGTCCTGTTCGAAGGATCTGCACCGAAGACTACCGATGGAGCGAATCCTCTCCGAGATGTGAAGGTAAATTGGTTCTTTCGTTCCCACAATAACAAAACTTATATTGAAAGCCACTATAACCATGTGAAAAGGCCTGTGAGAAGTAGACTTCTAACACGTGTTTGACGTAGTCCGATATCCTACATGACTTCTATCATTTGCAGAAGTCTTAATTTAAATTTTCATTTGTCATGAATGTTTTAACTTATCAATTAAATGTTTCCAGAAATCCGCTGTTCGGATCCTTTGGTACCGGAGAACAGCATCGTGTCAGTGACTGGTAACGACCGCAACCACGGACGCACTCTGATTAGAACTGCCGTCACCACCAGCGTCGGTAACAGCTACCGTATTGGAGCTCTCGTCAAGTACCGCTGTGAACGAGGCTATAAGGTGGTTGGCGAGAGTATCTCCACCTGTGAAGATAATGGCCAATGGAGCGGAGTTACACCGAGATGTCAATGTAAGTTTAAAGACTATTATTTAAAACCAGTCCAACAATTACGATAACTTCTGCTACCTGTGTAATTAAACCTACCAAAGATCAAAATAACCTAATCTCTGATCATTTTTCATTCCAGATGTTGACTGCGGAAACCCTGGTCCAATCCAGAATGGCGTAGTGACCCTAGCAACAAACGCAACATATTACGGTGCAGCTGCTTTGTACGAGTGCAATGAGCATTGGCAACTAGATGGCGTATCTCGAAGACTGTGCCAGGACAATGGCACATGGAGCTCAGAGCCACCAGTATGCAAAGGTAAACATTTTTAGTTGATATTATACCTACGCACGAAAGGATTTATATCTCGACTGTTATGAGGTACTGACAGTTGTATATCACTATGAAATTTAATATTACCTCTTTATTCTTTCCCTCAGAAATAACATGCACAGACCCATCAATCCAGATCAAGGGTAGCATAGGTCTGCTAGTTGCCACATCGACGTTGAGTATTGGAGGAGAGGCGCACTACCGTTGCGAACGAGGATATGGACTACAAGGAAACCAAACCAGGACCTGCAAACCAAAGGGACAGTGGAGTGGAGCTCCACCTGTCTGCATTCGTAAGTTGATATTTCTAATACATACATACGGCTCGGATCGATAACCTCAGATTTTTTGAAGTCGGTTAAAAACCTATCTGTATTTTAGAACCCTGCTTATAGAGGTAAAATCAATTTGTACCTAATATTTTTCTTTTCTTTACTTTCAGCTATCGACTGCAAGTCACCGGGTACAATTGAGAACGGTCGTATCATCATTTCGAACAGCTCCACGTTGTTCGGCAGTTCCATCGAGTACCATTGCCTGCCCCAGTTCCAGAGAGTAGGTCCCTTCCTTCGCAAGTGTATGGATGATGGTAAATGGTCCGGCGAGGAGCCCAGCTGTGAGATAATCAGCAACGAAGCCGCTGAGAATGGCACGTTGCCGCTTAGTGTTGGAGTTGGATGTGGCGTTGTGCTTTTCCTTCTCATGTTATTGGGAGTAATTTATTTGAGGCTGTAAGTATACGAAACTATAAGTTTTATATCAAACTCCCTTTAAAATAATTAATAATTAAACTATTGTCTCTTTCCAGCCGTAAAGCCACGCCAGTGAAGAACACAGAGAACATCGAAGGAGCCGAGCGTAAGGAAGACCAAAACGCCGCAGTGATGAGTTATGCAACACTCCATGACACGAATGGACGACATATCTATGACCACGTTTCCGACAACGTGTACGACTCGCCGTACAGCGAAAGGATTGCCGATAACGTTGCTTACGGGAGACGAAGCGACACGGACTCTGCGTATGAGCCCGAACCGACCGGCCCGAGCGCAGTCGTCACGATCAACGGAGTCGCTGTGCGCTGACCGCTGACTGACTCCAAGTGGCTCGTAAGACTTTTAGGTAACCAAATCCGACGCTAAATTGGTGTTCCTCAGTGTAAATGTTACCTGTAAATTTTCCCTTAAAAGTGGTTACCATTGACTCGAGTGTTCAAACGATACGATAGTTTTAGGGTTAGTTATGAGTCCCATTTGCTAGTTGATCACCAACCCTTACTAGGTATTGTACCAAAGATGTAAATGTGTTGGATTCGTGTGGTATGTTTAAGATTGCAATTCTTATATATCGTTGTCCATTGTCACAAGTGTTTAACTTTATGTTATGCGTAACTTATCCACCGTCGGATCGGAGAAAATTTAAAAAATGCACATACTATATTATTATTATAACCCAGAAAAGGTCTAGTCTCTTCACAACAACTCGATGCATTATGTACATTTATGACACCTTCACCATATCAGAATTGCAGTCTTAAATCTCGTGTAAGTACTTTTTGTTCATAATTTTTACAATAACTCACAATACGAACAAAAAGTATTACAAATACTTTGTGTATTTAGTTATTAAAATGTATTTATTGTTGTATATCGAACAATTAGAATTTGATGCCAAAATAATTCTGCGAATAAAATAATGCTTTTATGAACATGTTAAATTAAGGAATATTATTTAGTTTATATTCTTATTGTTCCTTTTGTATTGTGTAGTTTCTTTATCGGGATACCTTTATACTATAAATTCGGAATTATTAAGGGATAATGGTGGAGTACTAACCTGACACGTGCCTATTATATACTGCTTTATATTTTCTCTTACATATTGTTTTGTAAATATTATTGTTTAAGTTAGAATTAATATTAAAATATTAGAAACTCAATGCCTATAAAATCCTAGACCTACCTGAGACTTCTATAAGGAGTTAATTATTTCATTCTACCTAAAACCGATGTAGACTGTATTTTATTATAAATTAACTAAGTACCTACCTAGAACAAAAACCTATCAATTTATGTTATATATGTTGCCTAATTAAAGACTATGGTAGTAACTTTTGTTGTTAACTGTAGGTACCTGCTATTCCTTTATCAAAATACTAATTCAATTGTTTTTAAGAACGCAATTATTGAATCAATATTATAGAACATAGTCAGAACAAATAGGCCTCGAATTAGAAATGTTTTACTTGAATGATCTCGACATCACGACTCGTGATTATCGCTAAACTCATCTTGGCCTGCAACCAGCTCCTCCTGCCAATGCCATGGCGTATCAATTTTATATTCTTCCTAGAACAGAAGTAAGGACATCATAAACTATAATTGTGATTAAATATTAAGTGTTCATCAGATTATACAGTAATATTTTTGTTATATTTTATATGTACAATAATTTTAATTTAGACGGATTCGTTAAATAAATGTTCTGAATGTGTATGTGTTTATTTACTGTATTCGATAAATTCCTGTTTTCCTTGTTCTGTACCTGCTGTAGTAAAGTTGATTGCTGGGTTTTGAACTGTATACGCAACTGATGGATCCTGAACGTAGGTAATCCTGGATCTTCATCTTTATCTGAATTCTTAATTTTAAAATTCTCTAAAATATTTATACGAAATGAAACTACTTAAATATTTTACCAACTCCTTTATTTGTATAAAATTGACAAGACATCGAGAAGACAACGATAGCTTTATAAATAACATAGTAGATAAGTTCATATACATATAATATACATATTGTATCATATTTATACAGTAGGTACAATGGTTATTTACAAATATCAAATATAAATATTTATAAGGGATAACAGATTGATCACCTACGACGATTACCTAATGATACACTCATAAACCTTTTTTAAATAAGGGGCTTTTAGGATCGATGGCCCATCTCAAATACAACATACGTACTTATAAAATAAATATAAATAACAGTGTAAATAAGATTTGATAATCAAGCTAATTATATTGTTCGAGCTCCTGGTTTATCGAGCTCTTTGTTACCATGCTACAAGCACCTTCGAACACCGATGTTACTACCTTCTCTCACACTGACCGCAAAAAATCCTTCTACATCTAGTTACTTAAAATAAAGCTAATAAATTTATAATATTATTTTACACAGTAATCGTCGCAATGAGGCCCAATACTGTAATCAGAAAGTTAAATCAATTAGACATACGATTACATGTGATTATCTCAGGTGTTTCTCGCGTTTGTTGTAGGTGCGTATCAAAGTGCTTTATATGATTTGAAACTGAGGCCCTGAGAGACGACTAACTCAAGGGAACTAGGTACATCATTATGTGAAAATAGGAAAACACACTCAGAGTTGGTATAAGTATAACATCAATATTCCAGTAAGATTATGAGTGAAGATTCTGTAATATACCGAGGGATCCCGAGACTGCAAACCTATTTAACTCGACACATGAACAAGGGTTATAAATAAAAACCCGACAAACAATTAAATTCCATTCCTCTCCAGGATCCCATTTCCGAATGCAGGAAATCCTAACATAGTGTAGTAAATATGTGTACTAATTTCCAAATATATTATTTTTACTATAGTACTTTAGCGTTTAACAAGATAATATTATTAAATGTAATACAGAATAGAACACGGTTTAACATCTTGTGGACCAATGAATATTATTATTAGGTATGTATTATGTATTTGATATATTATAATTATAGCTAGATAAGATTTTCACAAACGGTGGACAAAGAAATTTCGAAAAATCGAGAAGACACTCAGGGTACAACTCTAAAAACCTCATATGAATGATAAACAGTATCTAAAAATATTAAAAACAGTATCTATAAAGAATTAGGACTAAATATAGGACAGGATTAGAATTTGGTTCTTGAGAAACGAATCAGCCAAAGCCAAAGGGGAAGGATTCTTTGGACGCACATAAAGTTAAGAATGTCTATATAAGTTTACGAATTTTTTTAACATCGGAGAACATCATCGGTGTCTATATTCTACTCAAAACATTCAGATTATTATATCGGAAACTACACAATTATGAAAATGAATCCATTCGTACGTACACTACAATAATTCATAGTGATTGATATGCATAACATCTAATATACTGATCTAATATAATAGATACATATTGTTATTTTATTAAGTATTTTTAAGTATTTCTCTATAATATTTAGCCTAACCTAAAGTTGGCAAACGGACAGCTCACAGATTGATTATAATTATCAACATCGACATCAGAAATAAATGATAGAACTAACTTTGTGTTTCAATGTACCTATATTGTATAAGTAAAAGGATAGTATACAGTTTCAAGAAATAGGATGAAAGGCTTAGCATAGTATTATTGTCAGAAGTGGATTGTACCAATTGAAACGAAATAATTTTCTACAAAATCTTTATAATCACACGCGACAGTGGCGTTTTGAGTAACGTACCTATTTTAAAAGGATCCCGTCAAAATCTCATTCGCATGTGATTTAATATTTAATATGAAACTTTATGAACGCCTTACAGAGTATTTAAGCACTAAAATATTTGCAATAAATATTATTTTACATACAAATAATATATTATTAAACATTTAAAGTATGTTCTATGGGTATTACGATATTTAACTCATCATTAGTTAGGACGTAAGTCCGATGCAATGTAAAGATATCTGTATTTACCTTGTCATATTCATTTTAAGTGGGGCAATTGGTTGATATAGGCATTACCAAATATTTTCACCCTAAGCTGTATCCCTTTCACAGCATGCATCATAACTACCTATATCAATACAATATTATATTTCCCCCAATATTTCCCACTGTCTTGTCCATGAGTCTAATATTGTTTTGTAAATCCGAGAGTTACATCGTACCATCTTTTATCCAAAAAATAATAGTACTCAGTCATCATATAATATTTGATTTATTTTTCATCATCATTAAACACTAAACAATGTCTAATTCAACGCCCAATGAGGGATTAGATAGCACTAGAATAGTGAATGTTATAGGCCTCGACCATATACATGTAGTATCTATAGGTGAAAACCACAAAATACTGTGTAGTCAACGAGACCACACACAAAGCCCCTCAATGAAACGATGATACTCTTTTTTTCTCAAGAGGAGAACTTCCTCGACCGATTTTACTAAAAACAACAGTAAAAGCGAACTTCTAACACGTATAAAATGTTATATACATATGACAAGCATCAGTGCATTTCCTTAAAACCCACACAAGGTAATCACAAGTTCTTACAAACCGTCAGGACGGTAATTTCAAGTATTGTCATTCCATATTATTTACATCAGAAATTCTACAATGATAAGAGTCCTATATAATAAAAAAAGGACTTTAAGCCACCTGTGCTAAGGCAGTTTATTTATCGACTCCCTACAATACCTAGATGATGTAAATATTGCAAATGAAAAACTGAAAGTCGCAAATGGACAAAGGACTTTTGGCGCGATAGTCGGTCGCGCCAAAAGTCCGTACCACAATATTAATAAAAAATCAAGTATGTTATTACAACGGCATCAAAAATACATCACCACTGATAATTTTGTCGTGGAAAACCGCCGTGGACACGGAAACCTCAAATAATCTACCTAATTGAAACTTGATATTTCCATAAATATATTTTTAGTTTAAAGTACTAACATTCATTGTTTACAAAGTAGTATAATAGTATTTTACTTTATTCATACAACGTGTAAATACAATTGGAATATAATATGATATTGAACACCTACAGACAAACATTAGGTATTCACCTAAATATTTATTAGTACCTAGTCATAGAATTCTATATTCTTTATCCAGGCCGCAAGACCATGAGTCAACGTATTTATTTAACTTTATTCTCATTGATTTCATATATCTTTGTGCTACATATTTTCAAAACCATAGTCATTGCATTAGTCTGAGATTTATCTCGAATTCGTGTTATTTTTCAAAATGGTCGTCAATCCATTATTTCGGTGTGTGTCAAGTAATAGGTGCAACCCCGCATTTTGTTAATATTCAACTTAATTTTAATAAACAAAGGCACGCGTCAGTCATACAGTGGTAGTAATTACGTAAAATTATCGTAATAATAATTCAGTATATGAACCTGGACAATCAATTAGTTGAGAATTTGATGAAGAAGAACGTAATCCTACAAAAATTTCAAATATTTAAGAAAAAATATTAAAGTCATTAATTTAATTCTGTATTCTCAGTTTACGTCAATGGAAAACCTCACTTAAAAAATAAATAAAACAAAACATCTATCTGGAAACGCGATCCTCACTGGATCTTGAAGGAAAAAAATGCATTAATGATAAGGGCCGGGTTTCCAATCGTCAGTTAATTTTTATTTGTAGGATAAAATTGACATTTGACAGTTTTAAATATGGAAATATTGTTAAATATTCAAAGTTATTCCTCAGTTAATATTTATCTGGCGTCGAAAAACTCGGCCTTAAAACAAATAAGGATAAAAACAAAAACAAAACAAAAATATAATGAAGAACTGTTTATTTTAACTTTCTCTTCAAATAAATAAAAACTTTATTGAACAAAAATTTTCAAGATCACTAAGTTAAATGAAAATGTTGGTTTACAAATTTTATACAGAATATTATAGTATTTACGAACATCTTTTACCACTTTAACAAACTCTTGTTCCATTTAAATATGTCTCAATATTCAAGACATTATTTCAACAAGCTTACATAAACGTCCTTTTTAATAGTAATTAACGTTAATTTTATTACAGCTCGGCAAAAACTGAGATAATAATAAACAGCTACATTAATACACGAGGTCTTTCAAACATAGTTACGTATTTATTGTCAAACGAAAGGTGATGGAGTTGAGGACTCCACGACCGATATATTTGACTGAATAGATGTGAAAGCCTCAAATAATATTATCAATAACTGTTAAGAGTAACTCATTAAAAACAAGTGCTGGGAACATGGCAAAGATTTATGTATGTGGCCGTCTGGACCGGTTCACACGCGGGACTCACGTCGCCGCTAATTTAGACTAGCATTTTTATGCCTCTTGAGACCCATGGACCCGATAATGACACATAAGTTTAATGTATATAACACATACATAGGCCGCTTTACAATGCTAGTGCTCGAGTCCGTGGCCTGCAGTGGCAAGTTATTTAATCAGACCTGGATATTTGAGAAAGTCTCATTAATGACAAGGTGTACACTAGTCATTGCATTATTATAAGTTATTGGTCCGTAAAGGGACTAGGCCTTATTTATTAGAGGCAAAACATATAAATATTCACTTTTATGGCCCCGATCAATTCATACTTTATAGATATTCAACAGTCTATTTCGCTAATACAAAAAAGTTTCTATGATTGTCGTACAAAATCGATATATCACAAATCAATCCAATCGGCTATAGACTATTGCCTAGAAAAAAACTATACATTAATATATTAGTAATTCGAGATACATATGTCGCGAAGATATTTATTTCATTTTTAACAATTTAGAGGTATATTTCAATCAGAGATATAATATTTAACAATATCTAAGAGACATACATAGCTATATGTAACATTTAAGTCGGGTGAATCAAGCCCTCTACAAAAAAAATCATAGTTAAACTAGTAAAACTAATCTACTTTACACTTATGTAGGAATATGCCAAAAGTTATCGACAAGAAATACATATATATATAACATAACATCTCATTTTAATAGCAGCTACTGCTAAGTCCATGCATCTAATAAAATGCAAATGTTTAAACAATTTTATTACTTTTACCATGATTGGTCATGATGATCATAATGTAAAACAAATCAATAAAGCTGTAATTCCTTAAAAACGCTATTAAAAAGAAACATTACACGAAAACACAATCCATGCGCCCTGATACTGGTGGCCCTGTGACGTCACTAAGTACTGACGTTCAATAAGTACATAATACTTTCTCAAAACGAAATTGAAAAGGTGCGTTAAAGTCACAAACTCAACACAACACACATCACGAAAATTAAACTAAGACAATCTGAATGTGGAGTAATGAAGGTTGACGACTTGGGCGAAACTGTGTACGTGTATAATTATTATGATGATAATAATCAACTTATACATTCAATTCAAGTAGAACAAATCTCGTTGCCCGATGCCTCGAGTGCTTTAAACGAAGGTATTAAATTCATTTTCCACGCAAATCTGTCAACCCTTGTTCAATAAAATCTAAACGCAAATAAATAACAATAATAACGGAATTAATCGTGTGATGTGGAAATTTCCATTATTATGGCAAAAATTAATAAACAATAAATATTAAACAAGTGTGGTTTGAAGAGTGACTTCATGTTTTAGTTAAAATGGAACAGATTTGTGTTTAAATCACACAGTCATGAGTTGTTTCATAAGAATACCTTATGAAGACTAATTTTGACGTGATTTAAACTTGTGTACAGTGCTGTTGGTTATTCTGTGTATACTTTGCAAAAGGTTTAGTGTATAATATTAAAACTATAATAGTGTTTGACTTGACCTTCGTTCATGATTATAATTATAAATTACCAGTCAAGATTGTTTTGATAAAGTAGTTCCTCATCTCTGATAATTTTAGTATTTTTCTCTCCAAAAGACAAGTAACACGAAATCATTCCCTTAACAAGATGAGTGTAAGTTCGTAGTATCAGCAATACTGTCATTACTTTCAGTCTAAATTTAACGGCTGCCACTGTAAAGCAAAACAAATTCGTTGTGCGAACGACGCGGATTTATAGAAAAAATACTCTACCAATAATTATTTGTGAATAACTATGCTTAGAGTTTGTATTACCGCTGAATATTTCAAACTGTAATTTCACGATTTTATTTCAAACGACAGTTTACGTAGCAATAACAATTATAAAATGTTTTTGTGGAATCTCAAACTCAATACACTCAATAATGGAACTGTAGACAAACTTAACATCAGGAACAATAATATTTCAAATATATAAATGTAAAGTGTACACTACAGAATGACAAAATAAACAGTATGGACTGCTATAACACACAAAAGCATAATATACAGATTTTGTACTGCAGTCATTGCCGTCTGTATGTGATTCTATAGCTCGATAATCCGTTATTATAAATACTTGGCGTGTGCCAACAGCTTTTATCATTAAGTTATAACATTAAATTAAATGGCGATAAGATCATTAATAATTTATACTGGCTGTGTACTCTCATAATATAATAGTAAATATTATATCACTTCATACCAAATTTTTAAATAACTTACAATCGTAAATATAACTTTAGATAGCAGCAAAACAGTTTGGCGGATCGACTATACACATTCATATCGGATACCTTGGGTGTTTCTCAATTAAATATTCCCAAATAAAAGATAACAAACAGTTTTTAGTTCAAGTGCCTATCAACATTGAATAAATAACACGAAATATATACGGATAAACCTTTGAAATAACAGACTAAAGAGCACGTCGTTTAGAGACGTGTTGCCGATCATAACGTGGCGTGCTATACTATGTGATCGTAGGAGAGACGCGAGGTGCTGTTCACTTGGACAGTTTGCTGATCACCCGGATTAGGGCTCCATTCTCATCCTTCAGCCGCTGGTTTTCAGCTTGGAGCGTTTGCTGATACTGGAAATTTTATAAATTGTTTATCAATATGACGTATAACACTAGTGCCATATAATCAAATAATGTCTGGGTGTTCATTTGACTTAGTTTCAAATATCAATGTTTATAGCGATACAAAATACTTATTTAAAGTTCATATTGTCTTGCCAGAACACGCAGACATCATTGACAAACAGGTGAAGAAACAACATAGGTACAACATGGGTTCTCACATCAAATCATAATATGGTACAATGACATAAACGGAGCAAACATCAGGAGCTACCGCCGATCTGTAGCTGGTAGAATACTTTAGTCACAATTTTGGAGATATCAACCATACAAAATATAAAATATGTATTCCTGCTAGGAACGGGGGGAGTAAAAGATCTATTGTAATGGTACAGGCGATACGTCCAGTCTTATCTCTTTTAATTATAAGTCAGTCGTATATTGTACACTTTAACGCATCGCATGTAAACAGATACTTTGATGTACACAAAATCAATTATGTATTCAAAATACACTTGAAATCTCATGATTACAATTAATTCCCAATACCTAGTCATTTTATTACGAAATTGATATTTTAAAATACGGGATCATTTTGTAACTGATCAAATTTCAATATCCACAGCAATTGAAACATTGGAAAATTTATTTTATTTATCTTTGCTCCCTCGATCATGGAATTTCAAGCATATGTTAACTTAATATCATACAGTAATATAAAAGCTATATCACATATTTACAAGTGCACAAACGCTGTGGATGTTAGGGTCGTTCACATCTTTTGTAATCAAAGCCTTTAGTAGTTCAATGTCATGTCGCACCTATTTAGGATAGCCTAATACAAATTTCAAAAAACACAGGGCCTAAAATGGGGCATATCGAACTCTGTTAATACAATACGGAGGAATTGTTTCCGAAATTTTGTTATTTACTTTGAGAGGATTTCAGTGTTGGTGACAGAAGGTACATCTCTTTTTTAAGTTAACCGATAGTAAAGACACGCTTGTATTACCAACTGCAATTTGTCTATTGGTATTTAAAATGTTGTATGAGATATTATTATGCTCTCGGCATCACAAATCATGCAACACACGCTAGCCAACTGTTTTAGGACATTGTGTTTTATTCAGACTTCTGAAGAATTAAGAAATGGGTACTTACATCGATAGAGTAAAATTGATCAGACATAGAAATGTTACCTATTAGTGTTCGTGTCGCAATACCACTCGCAGATACGCGAATCTGACCGAAGGTTCGCCGTTCGTAAAACATTCACATATTTATGAAACCTTCAGTTGAATAGCATCTAGTTGGTAGCTACGAATTAGACATAACAACAGATGTGAAATTCTATCAATATAAAAATCTCTAGTACGCACAACAGACACTAAAAATCGCTATTTAATTTCATTGAGAATCATGACCACATCTCTAAACTAACTTTTCAAACGTTGGGCTACAAATCTAATACCTCTGATAAAACACAATGAAGGCGCGTGCAATAATGCATACGTCACGCACACCAGACGCAAACGACACGCACAAGAAACGTTAACGTAGATTTAAATGAGACTTAGCAAAACACAAGTTATTACAACTGCCTGTTGGATTACACATTTTATTGTATTTTGGAATAAAATTCCAAACTGTCTCTAGAAAGTTTTGAAACTAAATAAACTATAGCAATTTAGTTTCAAAATAAAAACTAAAAGCCTTTATCAATACCTATTTACTAGCTTTGATTGCTTACAATCAACATAAAGGATTTCTGACTATATGGATAGATACGTCTACTAAGATAATATTTAGTTATCCTAACACATAGACTTTACAAACAAAATGATAGTTTCTTGCTTTGTGCCTAGATATACCTTTTTGGCTAAAAATCAAGGTATAAAGTATAAGTATAAAATTGACAAATATCGACTAGTCGGCAGTTAACGTTGCGTGTACGCTTCGGATACGTCAAGCGTATGCGTGAACACAATACACGCGCCAAGGCCGGCACGCAGTTAGACATGTACCAAAGCATGCTCGCCATAACACACTGTTAATCATCGTGGGGCGGGGCTCGACAAATACTGCGACGCTGCGCGACTGTGCTCTTGCTATGCTGTCGTCTCGCTCACACGCTTTGTTTGTAATTGGTGTTATATGATGAAATTATTCGATGACTATGAGGCTTTATCATACTAAGGGATTGCTAACGTCTTTACATAAAAAGGATTGCGCGACGAATACGTTACGAACGAACACGCCGCGGATGCGGACGCGTGGCAAGTTTCTTGAGCGTCTGTAACGAATTCATTTCGCAATCGAGGTTTGTGGCGCATTTGCTATGCGTTTGCATGCTTCGCTTCGATGACGCTCGCGATTCGCTAGTATAAAGGTATGTATGTTTCATGATGTCAATTTTATATACTTCGGTCTTGCAACTCCTACTGCTAAGCTGCTTGAATATTTTATGTCCTTTTTGTATTGAAAGTTTTCGGGATTACCATTAAAGCGACAATACATTTTGAAATCAACTGAAATAGATTTAGTGAAGTTCATTTGATCAATTATTTGCTAGCACACCACATTTAGGTATGCACGTTTAGTTAAAAAGCCAAAACATTGCGTGAAATGTAAACAAAAAGAAAACCTGAAAATATCACTCATATGCAAGTTAGATCAAACACGTTCTCGTTTTACCTGAATTAAACGTTAAAAAGCGTGCCAAAGCGTTTGTATTTTATATTAAATCGCTTGTCACATATTATAATGATCACGTTCATGCGCTGCCGCTTGTCCGCTGGCGGTGGTAAAAGGAGGGCGTGTGAGATAGTCTAGCAAAATATCAACAGTGTTTGTGTGTGAGAAAATGTGAACTTCAACGTGTAAGCGAGAGCGACGATCGGTTTAGTTCCGGCGCAAGCCGCACGGTGTCGCCACTGAGCAGAATGCTCAATTAATATACACAATTACCTATTTGGTGGCAGAGTTGGTCAATTTGCTCACGACCCGCGTAAGGGCACGATTCTCAGCCCTCAGCCTTTCGTTCTCGGCTTTTAGTTTTTGCAATTGCTATAAAACGAACACCAACATGTCAATTTTATTATTATCTCTCTTGGCGGCAGGTGCTATCTTGATGTCCGCCATATTGGTTTAGATCCAAACATGTCAAGCTGACGGTTACACTATATCTTGTATCAAATGATGCTTGCAAATATATATAATGTGTTGTGTATGTGTCCGCTACGAGATTGCTCACGTATATATAAATATAGTAGAAACGTAGTAGTTAAGAAAGTTACCTTTAATTCTTCCTCCATTTCTGATAATTTCCTCTCCATGGCCCTCTTTTCTCGTTTCTCGATTTCAGACAATGAGTTTTGGTTCTGTAAATAAAGAGAAACATAATTTTCCACTGCTGTTCAGTAACAACATTTTGAAATAATGTACAGAGGAAAAGTAGCATTCTTATATAGTAAATTAAGATATAAATTATGACGCTATAAACAAATCAACGTAGTAAATCGCAACAGTATATCAAATAGAAAGAGTCGCCAAGCAAATAAAGATAAATATGAAATTTCGCTATGCAAGTGTAGCGTATGCCATAAATATAAAATGCTAAGGTTGGTAGCTCGCGCCAATCTGTCAGCTGTCTATGCAAATAATTAGTGTTGTACTGTAGGCGGGAATTAGTCAAAACATTGGAAATAGTCGAGACTCGAGCTAATTACGAAACGTTACGAAAAACACATAGTCACGGTGAAGGTGAGACTCATGTTTGTAATATTAATAGATTTATGTGTCAAACTATTGCGGTCACTTTATTGTAGACATAGACAATGAGACAATGGAGAATAGTGAATGGCATTAGTGACTTAGGCATAAGTAACCATTACTGATACTTTTAAATTTTGGAAAATGCTTTTATCAGCACCGTAATCATTATTACTATGTATTAATTTTAAAAGCACAGTAAAAATCTATGCAGATAAATAAAAAGAGAGTGACTGTTTGTAATATTGAAATTACCGCTTTTTACTACATGCATATGAACAGACATACGATACGTATACCAAAACAACATTTTATTTTTGTCTGTCTATCTGTCTGTTTGTTTGTACTGGCTAATCTCTGAAACGGCTCAACCGATTTTAACCTTTACTAGCAGTACGCTGATATACTAAGGAGTAACATAGGCTACTTTTATTTTGGAAACTAGAATCAAAAAGTTATGTCCCAGAATTCATATTCAATGCGGACGAAGTTGCGGGCAACAGCTAGTCTATCATAAAAATCCACTATCGAAACATAAAACTAAGTAGCTCTCTGAATGCGTAACACGTCAATTTTGGTATAACTTAAACAATAAAAGATAAACGAGCCGAATGTTTCGGTAGGCGCTAAAAATAATTTATTAAATAAATAAATTGCACACAGAATAAACTTGTTTAAAATTTGCAGAGGCAAAAATATACAAACGTGAGCCACATTTTAAACATTGCATTAGTTATACTTACAATTTAATATTATATAGCTTTAAACGTTGGGTTTACAGTCAGCTATTACACAACTTGTGCTGTTAGAAAATACGAACTACACTGAAAAAAGTATTTTACAAAACTAGTTGAGTTAATTCACAAATAACCAAACCTTGATAAAAGACAAACGAATTTTATTTACGTATTGATCAACTGCTTCTGTCGCATTTTCCAAAAATATTTTTGTTATTTGAGTTTGTTATAAGCTACAAAATTTTATGTTATCCAATACAAAATTCGGTTTCGGCACTTTGCAACATAATATGTTTTGCTATACTCTACACACTTGTGACTTTACAGTTGACCCAACTAAAACTATTTTTTTAACGAATAGTTGCTGTTTTTCAAGTCTGCTATCTTAGTTTGTTACCAGCTAAATAGTATTGTTGAGATTTGTTTTGCAAAGTTACTAAAAATAAACAAAAAATTTGGCTGAGATCAACTAATATTGATTATGTTGGTTTTAGAATATTTTTGGTTATCAATAATACAGCAATATAATAGGTGGTGAATAAAGTTATGCTGCGCATAACAAAACGTTTTGGTTACATCAAACACTAACGGTCACGGAAGTAACCTGTAGAAACCTGTTCTTCTCGTGTTGCGTTGCGAGTAGGTACTTGCGAGGCGAGTCTAGGTCTAGGTAGTGGATGTGTGTCTGTTGTGCAATGTGCATCGTCTATGGCGAGCGGGAAAGCCGGCGTTTTCGATTTTATGCATGAATCATATATCATCAAGCAACGTCAAGAAGATTTCAAGAATGGAGCCGCCGCCGGTAGACGAGGCGGCAGAGAAAACGATCTCGGACTATCTGCGGTCTTGGGGATTGGAAGCTTACATTCCAAAATTTTTGGGTGAGTGTTTTTCACTTCTATTTCTTACATAATTAGGACAATAGTGTTTCATTCGTTAATCACTATTTTAAACAGGGCATTTCCCGTTAGATGCACTTTTGCATTCTTCTTAGATGCGTAGTGCTACTTTGCCGAAAAGTAGAAAAGCAAGCACCATACTACTACACATCAGGGTGTCGCACAAGGCGACTGGTGTCAAGGTTTACCGCCTAATAGGTACCTTCGTAGGCCAGGAAACGGGTAGCAGCGTTTTCTTCCAAACATGGAGATTATGACAGTACTCTGCAGTATTGGAGAACGCATATATGTTCAGCAATGGACTGTTATGAGCTATTGTTTGACTATTTATGCAGGTCTTTTGCTTTCCTAGTGTATGATATTATTAACTGCATACCTACCACACCCAAAGATGAATCACTGACCCCCGCACCTACATAACCTAGGGCCTGTCCTCTCCCAACCAACTCTTATTTTTATTAAGAAAAGTCCCGTGGTACTAGTAAACAAGCTGACTAACTGACTTAGTGCGGAGATAAAAAGACTAAACTTATCCATATTATTTCAGAAGAATCCATTGATGTGGAGACTCTCCAAATGTTGTCAGAGGCTGACCTGAAAGACTTAGTGCCAATTATTAGACACCGGGCTAAGCTGACGACACAAATCAAACTTTTGACCAATATAATGTCAAATGCTTTTGAGAACACTGTAAGTAATAATAACAATAATTAATACTTAATTAGTCATTTAAATCTACACTAATATTATAAAGCGAAAAGATTTGTATTTCTGTGTGTGTGTATGTTTGTAATGAATAAACTCAAAAACTACTGCACCAATTTCAAAAACCCTTTTATAATTAGGTAGCTACATTTACCCTGTGTAACATATCAAATCAAATCAAATCAAATCATTTATTCATTTGCGAACATGGGTACAAAAAAAAGGTCTTATACAAAATAGTGTCCATTAACCATATTCTACCTTAAAGGCATGCAAATTTAAAAGAAAGATACAATAACACATATTAGGCACTTAGTAGTACTAGTATTTTACAAGTGAGGTAAACATTACATAAGCTTATCCTGTAAATATTCTGTGACAGAGTAATATGCCTTTTCCAGTAACAGTGTTTTAACATTGTTTTTAAATACATTTTCATCACTTATGCCCAGAAATGAATTTGGTAAATGATTATATATGCGTGGAGCCATACATAATATACTTTTATTTAATAATGTTGTTTTGTTGCTTGGTAGACATATATTGAATTTGTGTCTTTTACTGTGTAACTTATTAAAATAGTGTGTATTCCTTCTAACAAACATTATAACTTCGAAAATATATATGCAAGGTAAAGTAAGAATATTTAATTTTAAAAACAATGGTCTACAGCTGTCCGTTATTTTTATATTGGTTATGGCTCGGATACACCTCTTCTGGGCTTTAAACACAGCTTCTTTATTAGTAGTATTGCCCCAAAAAATAACACAATACTTCAAAACAGGTACAACATAGCCATTGTAGGCTGTAAGGACTGTAGAAATATTAACCGTTAGATATAGGCTATAGTTTATCTCCATAGTACGGGAACGGGAACTACACGGGTGAAATCGCGTGACATTTGCTAGTTAACATTAAAATATTTAATAAAAACATGTATATATGTTATAATTCATGTGTGTATGTTAGTAATGATTACTTTTTAATTTTATTACTGTCTCTGTGGTCTAGTGGTTTGGGGCTTTGGCACCTGATCCAGAGGTTGTGGAATTGAATCCCATGGAAAATACTTAGAGCATGAAAGTCATTTTGTGAAGTTGTTCCCAGTTTGATTAGGATAATGCAGGCCGAACCAAATCCAGGGTTGTTGTCTGTCCAGTAGGTTATCCTGTGCTTTGGAATGTTGCATGTTCAGCCATCAGTCCCTGTCACTGTCTCGGACAGTGGTCGTCATATAAAACCATGTTAGAGTTTGATCAGGTTATTATTTTATATTTCAGTGTACTAATACTACTCCGGACTCAAACAACCAAATAATGCTGTATACTGTGGAAGATTTGCCAGTTGTACAGACATTACCTGATGATGAGGACCCCCTTGAAATGTCTAAAACAATTAATGTAACAATGTAACAATGTATGTATTAGTGTAACAATTATTTTAGTGTATGTAGCTAGGTTTGGCTAGTATAGTGTGCTAGCTCTTTGTCTGAATTAATTATAAGTTCCTACTAAAATTAATTGATATGATACTTAATAAATAAATATATTTGTAAAAATCAAAGTTGTTTTTCTTATTCTATCTCAAGTTTGTAACCGAAATGAATACCATAGTAGGTGAGATTTGGGGAAGGATATATCATGCTAAAACTTCTTATAGGTAGGTAAATGAAAATCTACAAGAAAAAAAAACACTTCAGGCTGATGCTACAGGGTAGCCCGCGAAATTCAAATTTTCTTACGTTTTTTGCAATTTGCTGGCCAGTGCTAGGTTGTATGTTGCTTAAACTATTGTTCACGATTGTAAGACGTATGTAGTTACAGAACTAATAATATAATCATCAAAAGCATGAGTACAATCCTCCAAGTTCTAAAAGGTCTAGCAAAAAAGATTTTTTCAAGGTCAAAGTCATTGCTAGACCTTTTAGAACTTGGAGGATTGTACTGATGCTTTTGTTTTACAAATAACAAAATAGTTTGGTTACAATAATATTATAGTGATGTTACTTTTTACCGAAAAGTTTAGTTACAGATAACAATTCCGTACTGTTGGAAGTAATACGAGGGGCAGCCATAAATAATTCAACAAGTTCATTTACAGATAACAAAATAGTTTGGTTACAATAATATTATAATGATGTAACTAATAACTGAACTATACCAAGCCCATGACCAAGTTTTAACCAAACGGATTTGTACGCGCTAACAATAAAACGTGGCTATTTTTACATAACACTTTTGTTTTATAATACACATATTAAGTTATTTATTCTAGAACACTTTGGTACAACGTGAATAATAAATTTGTTAAGAAGTTATCATTTTTGTCGAGCTACTAATAACAGATCTCTAATAACAAAACTGAATTTGTCTAATAAGAACTATAGTTATGTAGTCACTATTTTTATGTAACAGGTTACTCAATTGTTTGTTATTTGTTACTCAAAACTTTTTTCAGTGTAGATTTTTTTAATTCTCGGTTCAAAAATCATTTTAGATTCATACTTTGGAATTTGAGTGTGTCCTACTCTTCAAGATGGCGGATACTGAACCTCTGACTTCATATAAATGACAATAGGACAATTGTAACAAGAAAGGAGGTAAATAAACTATAGTCAATCTAGATGTAGATGAGTATAATACGCTACGCATAGCAAGAGTATGTAACATGCACATGAAAATAACTTCAGGAACAAACCTGATTGATAACATAATGATTGTAACTTTGTAACTGAATCTTTTATCATAGTTTCGGAGATCAATTATTATTACTGCTCAGATATCTGACGTACTTAGACTTAACTACACATACCATATAAATTAACGACAGAGTACATAAATATGGGTCAAACATATACTTAACTACACACACAGATATACTAAAGTAATTCGTACCACTTGAGTGAGCCTCGTGATAGTCGCGCGAGCCTCGCGCAACTGTTGCTCGGAGGTGGCGAGCAAGGCGCGCAAGCGACGCACTTCGCTCTGAGACGCCTCGTACAGCGCCTTGTAGTCCTTGTCCTCGCTCTCCTCAGTGCGTTCGCTGCCAGACTGGAATGATATAGAACATTATCAGTACATTGGCTATTTGTTACATTGTCAACTACCATTAAGCTGGGTATGTCCAAAAACTGCGATCAGACAACAAAGAACCTTCTGCCTAACAAATACGGCAATCCCCACTATGTTTAGTCGTAAAGTTTTCAGGCTAAAGGTTTTGAAACTACTAGTAGGTAGTTTATTTTTATTAAGCCCGGCCTTCTTTTACCTTCGAAGGTCGAAGGAAGGAAGAATAGTGTGTATTAAGAGATTCTTAGCGCTTAATATAACATAGGACACAAATAAATAACATCCTAACACACTTTATTTGTCTCAATCAATCATAGCAGTCTTCTACGGACTCGTGGTTCTTGTTTTTAATAAGTAATGTAAACCGATATCTTTGAATATAAAATTCAACAACACATTCAGGATGCTGTTGCAGCTTCCAAGTTTCTTTAATAAAACAACACTGTTTGGTCAAAGATACACCGTTTGCTTTATATTTGTAGCTTTATGACACATAACGGTCACATCTTTCATGACGACAATAAAGATCACACATTTCATTCATAAAATAAATCATGCAATCATCATAACGTGGAAATATATTAGAGTTGACTAAGTCCATGTTTATTATTATTTATTACTATTATTTTCTATTTTTCTATTGTTATGAATGTATAAACTATTGTTATTATTAAAACCGATGACAATAGTGAAAGAGTGTAGTTAAAAAAACATGATTTTCAATGAAAGTAAACAACATTATTGAGACATTAATAATGACATCATGAGATACCAAATTATTATGACATAATCGTAACTTCAACTCTTTTATTCCTCAAAAGGATAGGAAGAGGTGTTCCAAGAATTGTACCAAAAAGTAAATCCCATTTACGCAGTCATTTTGACCATTAATAACATACCAATTACTCAGAAGACATATTGTATCTAATATGGCAACAAAACTACAGCTGTAAACCATTGTTTAATTCGTAAACATGAAATAGAAAGAACACAGACGCCGTTTTATTGGTAACAAATAGTTAGAAAAACGAAACTTCTATAAATAGAGGCGATGAACTGAGACAGAAGCTATGAAACTACGTGTTTATTCACGGGAATCCAGATACTTTCTACTTGAGACAGAACAATGAGAACATTTATGCATAACTTCCCAAAAAAGATAAGAAATTCAACTAAGATGTGTTTTCTCTATGGAATGGTTACTTTGTTTGCCAGTTCCCACGAAAAATGAATTAACGTTCATATGTACTTTCATATTACATATACATTAAGTAAAAGTATGTATGTAGTGCAATGGAATCTTCGAAACTATACGTTCTTTGGTCAATAATCACTAAAAGAAGTAGCGATAAACAGAACTACACAATAAACACGCCTATTCCGTAAAAAATACGCTTCCGACATATTTACTCTACAATGAAATGGAAATGCAATTAATAAACCAGTTATTCCTTTTCAGATACGATCAAAGTCATTTCGAAGTATGTAAAATCATGCATCCATACTCCCATGGGGCTACCCTCATCCATCGTAGCAATTGGCGTTCCATAGTCTCTATCTGCCTACGCAGAGACTATGGAACGCCAATTCCTACAATAAATGGTAACGTAACATCAATATATGATTTTAACCAGAAAATACATTAGATAGAACCCTAACTATAAGTACTGACACGAAACAGTGCCTTTAGCCAAATGCCATTTAGCGCTTGTCTACATGTAGAATAGAAAACCAAATTATATGGAATTAACGTAAATCTTGACACTTGTCAGTATCATCCCCATACATTTTCATACATTTTGATTTCTACTCTCTCTGTAGATAAGCGCTAAAGTGGCGTTTGGCTAGAGGCACAGTTCCGAGTAAATTCAAAATATACAAAACGTATTTTATTCACTAAAAAAAACTCCTCCTTTTTTGAAGTCGGTAAATGTTTCTTCATGAATTCGTAAACAAAATAACGGCCGAAATAAATAACAAACCTAATCAAAATACTCTGAGCCGATCTATTATGTTTTAGAAGAAATTTAATAGAACTCACGTCTTTAATCAAAAATATTTCGAACTTAAGGAAGAGTACTATAATAATATTATCTTTGTAAATAATATAGGTATTACGTACACAATATCCATCTGAAGCAAGAGAGTTTAAGCTGAGAGATCGAGAACCAAGCGCCCCTGAGGTCTCCAGGGAGCTGAGCGAGCGAGATCGTTCTTTGTCCAAGTTACCGGCTTTATTCGCACGGTTCTTGCGCTGCGGTCGTACTGGCGGTACATCATCCACGTCTGGAACCGGCACCCCAGCAGGCACATCCACTGGCACTTCCGTAGGCTCCTGAACCTTCGCCAATGGCACAGGTTTGGGCTTAAAGTCTTTTTTACTCGCCAGTAACCTTTTGTCCAACTTTTTTAAAACAGGCGTCATTAAATTCAACGACCCCAAAGTAGCACCACTTAAGTACACGCCCCCGTACCCGGAACTAGTGCCACCGTATATACCAAGATTCGACGACGGCCGCCCTAATCCCGCACTGTAAGGGTTATAGTTCCTGTACGCGCTAGAACTGTAATTGGAATAGTTGTTTGAATAAGGACTGTACTGACTACCGAGCATCGTCCCCAGCATACTTGGAGACGAGCTGTAATGTGAAGAAAGGCTTCGAGGCCTGGAAGTATATCTATCTTGTTTACGACTCATTTTGTACACATTTCACCGGAGCCGTATAGTAACACAGTTGGCGGGCGAACGCCGCGCGCTACGTAAACACACTGACCGTTTCCCGAGTTTTATTCTACGCGATGTGAAAATATTGTGCTCTCGCGTCGCGGGCGGCAGGATCGCGCGTGTGTGACGCTTGTGACGCACTGACATGTTCAGACGAGAGGGCGATATCCACCGGACACGTGAGACAGACCATCACCTGTAAATATAACGGCGCGCCGCATCACCGTAGTGTAGGGATCGCCGGCCAGTGGCGCGTGTCCCGAACCCGCCGCACCGCAAGGACGTCGCAACGCAAATAGAGATAACAGCCCTCTATTATTATCGAAGACGCCTCATCAATCAGTCGACAGTTTACTTCATAATTAGTGCGCTGATCGAAGGCCAGCCGCGGCCAACTCGTGCCTCCGCCCTGATCGGTATCGGCACAGGTACACAACGCGCATGCTAAAAATAAGCCCGCACCTCCTATAAACATTGTATGTTACGGCAACCACAAATAAGCCCTGCAGATGTAGAGAACTGAGTGCATCGTAAACTGTTTGCATACACGGCTGTTTCTAACTGTATAAATACTACACCATCGAATCGCTAATTTATGAAACACGCATTAGTTTCTTCGTAATATACTTACTATATATAAAATCTATTTTCAAGTTTACGCGTCTCGGATTCCGAAAGCGATGACCCAAATACTATCTTGTTGGGAACTATCAAAACATGTGCCTGAAATCTTGACTCCCATATCTCTCGAAACCATAGCACGTTACACGTTTACTTAGTTTTTATTACCTGCGACTATTGTGACAAAAGATTAGAAAAATAAATTATTCTTAGAAATCCCCCAATTATGTGGTTAATTCATTGAGCTAGTGGCCTGATTCTATTTCTCCAGACGACGTGCCTAAATCGTTTTTCAAAATTTCATAATATACACCAAAATATATTTCGAAATTGTCTTGGGAAACTCGGCCGCTAACTTCGCATCCCACGTGGGCGATAGACGCTACGCGTACGACACGATGTCTGTCCTACATTATGGACATTGATAAAGTAGTTATAAATTGCTCGTGAACCATAAAATTAGCGTTTTAGCACTTGGCTAATGAAAACGTTATAGGAATGGCACTGAACATATTTCTCAGAGTACCTAAACTAAGAAAATTAACGGGTCAAGGGTATGTTTTACATGTAATCTAGCTTTTATTTTCGTATTTACGAGCGTCTAGATCAGTCCCGCTTCCTGTAGCGTCGCGTCAAAAATAAAAATATTTTAATCTAAAAAATCAGGAAAATTTCTTCTGAGACGAAATAAAATGATTAATATATCCCGTGGAATTAACATTTATAATGTATTGCGTCGTATCACTGTGATGTGATAGTTTAAACCGCCCACGAAGAGTAGTTGATATTACATATCTTAATAATGTTAGAGGCGGTTACATTGTGGACGGGTTAGCGACGTCACCGGCCATGTGTGTTGAGGAGCTGGCGTCACGGACGGATACGCTAAAAGTAATAAGGCTCCAGTTCACCGTTCAGTAGTAACCACGGTGATAAATACCGAATTTATGACTACAAAATATTGATTACATATTGCCTACAAGCTCTGGCAACTGAATTTCTAATTAATGAACAGTTGAGCACATAATTTGTTGGTGACAGACTACTCACTTTATCAAATACTAACGGGGAAATTCATTACTTCTGATATCTGTGTACGCACTGTTGCATTTGTTTAAATAGAAAACCAGTAAACAACCACATTATTCCCACAGTTCAACATCTCATATAAACCTAGCTTTTCAACAACCTACTGATCTTTTCATCGGTCACATTTTACTACGAAAATATTTGATTGTGAAATTGGCATGCGTTACAAAACATTTTAATCAAAACTAGGATAATGGGCGTAATTCATTGATGCATTAGGAATCTGCTATGAAAATGTTTTACTATGTCCTAAATTGTGCCCATCGCTAGAGGAACATAATTAGTTCTACTCTATTACGTGTGAAAAATGTTCGTACTAATACAGAAACGTTTGAAAAGAGAATGTTACTGCATTCGTATGTTGAAATTCAATACAAAGAAACACATTCAATAATCTCATTAACAAAACCCAATAAATGACAAAATACGTAAAACAGAAGCTCAATAAATAAATAAATGTTTACAAAATCTCAAAACGCAGTTGAGTAGTCACCACTCAAACGCAATTTATGTGTCGTTCATAGTAACGTTGGGATTAAGCCAATAT